GGGGAAGTGGGGCGCGGGGGGGGTTCTGGGGCTGCGTGGTGGGAGACACAGTGGTGGCTGCGCCATGGCCTCTTGAGGCTCTTGGGTGCTGAGGACTCTTTGCTGTCTCCAGGAAGGAGTGTGGGGGCTCCCCGTGTGCCGTCCCACCCCAAGAGGCTCCCCAGCTCCTCACGGGGAGGGAAAGTGTTAAGGGGATCTGGGTGCTGCCATGGCTGTGGGTGCAAGTGCCTTTGGCTGGGAGCCTTGGTGCGTTCCCAGAGCTGGGCTGTCCTTGGCATTAGTGGGACTTGGTGGCAGGGGTCCCACGCCTGGCGTGCTGGGATGGAGAGTACAGGCTGGTGAGGAGGGGTGGTCAGGACAGGCAAGGTGGACGTGAGGCAGAGGTTGGATGGTGCAGCCCTTCCAGTCAGCGATGATGTGGCCGAGAGCCTCTAGGCAAGGATGAGGTGGATGGAGAAGAAAGCAGGAGTTGTGGTGGGTGTGTGCTTGGACATGGCCCAGGTGGAATGCCTGGTTCTTCTCTAGGCAATGAGGAGGAATCTGGCTGGGTGGCCTTTGTCCTCGTGGCAGATTTGCACTTCCAGACCCCAGCTGGGAATACCGTGCTGCTGTGAGGAGCAGGTCTGGGAAGGCCGTGCAGAGGAGTCTCGATAGATTGGAGCGCCCGGCAGTCGTCAGCAGCATGAGCTTGAATGCGTGTGAAGGCGGGATTCGGCAGCTGGGGAGGAGTAAGGGCGGGCACAGGGGCAAACGGCGAGTGGGGCGTCTGGGGAGCAGCCCTGCAGAAAGGGCAGATATAATAAAAATAGCCAGACAAAAAATAACTCTCTGTGGCATTTGTGTGCATGTCCGTCACGAGCATCACCCCCACGCACTCCTGGGTGAGCTGGGGAAGCTGCGCTGGGCTTCTGGCCTGCAGTGGGCAGCGGTTGTCTCTTGGAGATGGTTGTCCAGGCTGGCTGACCTGCACCCTCCAGCCACCGCTGGTGAGTGGAGATGCCGGGCAGGAGAACGCTCTCACGGCTGAAGAGCGCTTCACGTGTTGGTCAAGAGAGCGGGACGGTCAGTTCGGATTTTTCTGTCAGGCAGAGGCTACCACGTGACAGAAGAGGTCTCAAGAGGGAGAAGAGCGGGAACGAATCCCCACTTCGGGTTTGTGTGGCAGAGGCTGCAGCGCCGAGTGGGAGGTGAGCGGGAAGCTGGGTTGGGCTGGGGTGACCTGAGGGGGAAAGACCCGGGTTTCCTGGTAGGATAACCTTGTGAGCCTGGTCACGAGCGGGTGCCTGTGGGGAACCTTTTCAGCCACATTTCCCGTGAAGAACGCCTCGCCGGCGATCTCAGGACGCGGCTCTCTCAGCAGGTGCCGCGGAGCCCGGTCTGACAGCACCGATCCGTGTTCCAG